AATCGCAAAAAGCCATTACTTACAATAAGAAAAAACAAGTACACTTTAATGATTATAGATTTGAGTATGGAATATTTTGCCTGATTTTTGTTTCATTGCCTCTTTGTCATTGGAGGCCTGTCAGATGATTTTGGTAAGTATCATGGGTGAATGTCTTTGTGTTTGCTCAGCAGAGAACAACAGTTGCAATATGTAAATAGGGTGCCTCCTCCCTTTGGATGCCTTGGGATATGTATAATAGATTAAGTTGGCTTTGTGCAGAGCAAACAGGTCTGTATTACCAAGAATATGAATGATGTTGGTTTCCATAATTGCTAACATCTGGCTTTCCATAAATCTGTTAAACTGCATGGAAGCTGAATTAGATTTCTGTGTCATAAGTAAAGCAATTACATGGAACTTTTAGACAATATGGTCCTATATTCAACTGCAAAATCCTTTCATTTTGGAGCAGCAAAAGCAGATCCAGGGTTTTTTTTGCGCACACTAGGTGTGTTCATCTTTATGCTCAGGTTTCTTAATTGAGAGAGAAACACTGCCAATATGCTTACAACTTTGTAAATGAAAAAAATAATTAAATGTTAGAAAAGCATGTTATAGTTGGCCATTAATTGCCAATTTAGAGAGAATTTCAGAGAAGACCTTAAGTTAAAGATTCTTTTGCAGCTACTGTTGGAATCTTGAAATTACTCTTCCAGACATTTTCTGAAGTGCTTTGTTAATGGGCCTTCCTCTGTCCTTGTCCTCATGCATTTGACAGGAAACCGGAGTGGGGAGGGAGGAGGGAAGGTTGCCTTCCTGTTTCAGTGTGGTTACTATTTTGCCATATTTATTATACTATAAACCAGACTTATGGGCTTCCCCAGATGAAAACTTAACAATAAAATGTGTTCCCTGAAGGGAAAGGTTGTGGTTCTGTCTTCTTCTTTCTGAACACCCAAGAGACCAAATTTTAGTAAAATCGGCTTTATAATAGTAATGGTCTATAAACTTCCCGGATTAAGTAAGTTAAGTGAAAACATTGTACAACCACAGTGCTTTCTGTTGTACTTGGCACTGAGAAGAGAATGAAGAAAAAAGATTTAGTCCTTGTTCTCAGTGAGCTCACTATCTATGGAGATGGATATATTAAGTGTGTAAGAGCTAAATGCAAGGATAGCATTGTATATAGAGTACAGAGTCAATAGTGACTGTTTCACAGAATGAAGAATGGTGATGCTTGATCTTGATTTTGAACATGACATAGGAATGAAGATATTATAGGAAGGGAACTACTTACTTTGTAAATTAATTTATACACCAACCCATTCCATGCAGACTAAGAGGAAGGAGAGAAGGGAGAGGGAGAGTACTCCCATAATGAGAAAAGGCATAGAGGAAACAACATGGACTTTTTGTGGATAACCCATTGCTTTTGAACAAAAAGGGGAAGAGACAGAAGCTAACAACTGGAATGTTAGATCAAGGCTTATATGCTGGGAGCTTAAATCATCTATTATAGACATCAGAGGACGACTGAGAGGTGGTAAGCAGGGGCGTGATATGGACAAATTTGCTTTTTAGAACACCAGTCCCTTGCGGAAGGTATTTAGAGCAGTCATTCTCATCTGACTGAACAGAGCCCCAATATCTGGATCCTACTTTATACACCAATTAAATCAGTCTCTAGTGGCAGTGAGCCCAGGCACCAGTACTCGTTAAGAGCTCCTCAAATGTGTCTACTGAGCCCACAATTGAAAATCATTGGATTAGAATGAGAAGTCGCTGGAGTCAGGGAGACCAGATAGGAGGCTAATGTAGTAGTCAGGGACTGGTGTGAAGATTTGAGTTAACACAGAGTTCAGAGAAATCTGAATATTTTTTATGATTCCATGTGTTATCTATCAAGTTACTCTCTATCTGTATCTCCCAGACATCCAAACTAGATTGTATATGTGATTAGAGAAGAGTAAGACCAAATATTTTCATTGCCACTTTGAGCAAAAGCCAAGGAGTGAGAATAATGCAAACATACCAGTTTAGTATTGTTCCAAGATAGGATCTACCACCAACGTGGTCACTGCAGTGGGAGTTTAAGGAAGTGACTGATTACTATGAATTGGCATAATATTGGGAGATGCTTAATTGAGGAGGTAGGGCTTGAACTTTGTCTTAAATATCCACATTCTTTACATCAAGAAATATGTGAGTTCTTATGTTATCTACAATTTTTAAAAGACCAGAAATTCATTGGGTATGGTTTTAAACAGGGGATAAATAAGTGTCAGAGAGGCTAAATAATGTGACCAAGGACATACAGTGATATGTAAAATGCCTTTTATGTAGTAAGCACTCAATTAAATTGAGAACTTGTTTTCAAACATGGGTTGCCTGACTCCCACATCCAATGCCACTCTTAATTGAGAAGAGTTAGAAGAAGACGACTTGGGAGACAAGAAAGGTTTCCAGGTAGGAGCACCATATGGTCAAATGTGTGGAGAATAGCATGGACACAATGGAACAGTAAAGACATAACTGAGGTCAGATTGTAGTTGACTGGGAATCTGGGTATTGCAATTTGGGTTCATTTCCACAGTTTTTAAAGGAGGAATCATGGGGTGCCTGCGTGGCTCAGTTGGTTAAGTGTCTGACTGGCTCAGGTCATGATCTCATGGTTTGTGAATTCCAACCCCTCATCGAACTCTCTGCTGTCAACGCAGAGCCCACTTCACATCCTCCAACCCCCTCTCTCTCTGCCCCTCCCCTGCTTGTGTGCTTGTCTGTCTCAAAATAAATAAATAAACTTAACAACAACAACAAAAAGAGGAATCGTTGTTAATTAACTAAATGTCTTGACTGAGACTACATTTAATGAGACAAAGACAAAAATCTTGGAATAAAGTATTTGAACTCTGTAACATTTTCTACTTTGTACCTTTACTGTGAAGCCAAATTTTCCAACAGTGCATGCAGTCAGTAATAGAAGATAGGTCATTTATTTCTCATTATTTTTAAGTCACAGTAGTTGCAAAATTATAGAAAACTTTGAGTAATTATGTAATTCTCAGAATTTCAACTAAGGATACTAAAGAGGATCCATATAAGATCTTATGCTTGGAAGTGGGTTGCAATATCTAGAGGGTTAATAGTTGAAAGTAGATAAAACCACAGAACATTCTAGTATTCTGAAAGATGACTTTAGACCTTGAGTTGGTTCAGAAAAGAACTCTAGAGCATGTGTTAGAAGGCCCAGGATACCACCTTTGCTTCAACGTGGTACTAGATGTGTGACCACTTATTCATCTCTGTGCCTTAGTTTCTTATTTTGTAAAACGAAAGTAACTATTTCCATCTTGCAATTATATGGCATAACTCCTGGAAAAGCTTCAAAAAACTTTGACACACTATATAAGTATAAAGCACTAACAGTAAGTATATATTATGCCTTTAAGCACTATTGCTTGAGTACTTTAGGAGAAAATGCCACTTAGAATTATTTTTTCTTTAATTTAGCTCATAACCCTTAACCAAATGCCCACAACCCATACATATTTAACATGAAATTTAGGAAGTAGAGTAAGTTAATTCATACTTTTTTTTTTTTACGTTTGTTTATTTTTGAAAGAGAGAGTCGGGGGGAGGGGCAGAGATTAGGGAACAGAGGATTTGAAGTGGGCTCTGAACTGACAGCAGAAACCCCAATACGGGACTTGAACTCACACACCGTGAGATCATGACCTGAGCCTAAGTCGGACGCTCAACCAACTGAGCCACCCAAGCACCCCAATTTATAATGTTCTTATTTTAACTTACTATAGGGATTAAACTTCCTGATCAGATGCCTAACAATAGTTAGTTATCTCTATGTCCTTCTAGTGTTTCTCCTTGTTACCTACATAAGGACAATGTCTTAAATGTCATTGTTAACATTTATAATACCTAGTGTTCAAAAAAACCTTGTGCACAGAAGGATCATCTGAAGGATATTTGAAGGACATAGCACTAGATTGACCAGTGGAGTACAAGACTATGATAAACAAATGACCAATATCTTTAAATCATGTAAAGATTGTCACAAATAAGAAAACTCAAGTTGACTTTTCTTGAGTGGTCTCAGAACTAGCACCAATAAGTAGGAGTTCTAGGAAAATATATTTCATTTCATTTAAGGAAGACATTTCTAAAAGAGTTATCCGATGGAATTGGCTGCCTTTTGAAGTAATAGATTGCCCACTGGGAAGAGGCTCAATCCAGGACTGGACAGCTATGTGTTTGAGATGTTAAGGTCACTCAAGCTTTGAATGTCTGGGAAAGCTGACTGGATTTTTGCTTTCCCTCCATATTTAGCTGTCATTAAAAAACCGTAAAATATATGTGTGTCTTCCATCCTCATCCATGCTATATGTACCATAGCTCTAAGATGTTTTTTTCTGGGGACAAAAATGCTTCTGACCATTAGGATGGAGAGGATTTGATTAGGCAAGGCAACTACCAAGAATTAGTCCCTCTTCTTTCACCCTTGGCCCCAGGATCTGGGGGAGTCTGATTGGTTCAAGGTTGCCCTAATTGCCCACTTATTCCTACTCAGTGGATGATCTATTCACACCTTTTCTAAAAGACCCAGATCTGTATAGGGTGTATCCCCACTGTTAATGAATTAGGACTATTTATGGCCTCTAGATGGTACAGCTCTCGAGAATATCCTAAAACTGGATTAGAGCTGCTACTGGATAATTTAGTAATTGGAGTCCAACAGCTGCAGGTTTGAGTATGAGACCTGCCACCTATTAGCTATATGACCGTAGGCATGCTATTTCATTTCTATGAGCCTCAGCTTCATTATTTGCAAAATATAGGAACAGATTTTCCTACACAGAGCTGCTTTGCAGAGTAAATGAGATAATGCATGTGAACAGCTTGGCACAAAGTAAATGCTCAGTAATATTAATGCTATTGTAAATGACTATTTTCTAATCACAGTCTTGGCTAAATTGTAAAGCTCTGTGCCTTCTTTATTGCAGACATTGATGAATGTGCCTTAAGAACCCATACCTGTTGGAATGATTCTGCCTGCATCAACCTGGCTGGGGGTTTTGACTGCCTCTGTCCCTCTGGGCCCTCCTGCTCTGGTGACTGCCCTCATGAAGGAGGACTGAAGCGCAATGGACAAGTGTGGACCTTGAAAGAAGACAGGTGCTCTGTCTGTTCCTGCAAGGTGAGACTAATACAGTGCGGCAGGAATTGTAACTGTTCTTTTCCTCCCTTCACTCTTCTCTTCCGCCCCACCTCTTTCCCCCAGGTGTTGACTTGCTGGTCTCCTGTAGTTTCTGAAAAGGCTTCTCTCATTCTAATCCATGCTACAGCTAATGATGATGCTGAGTGGCAGGCAAACCTGTTTTGAATTGATCATGCCATTAGTGAGAAGTGAGGTGTGCAGTTGAGAAGAGACTGCAGAGCACGGGGGGAGTAGGGCAGAGAAACCAATGTTGGTGCTCCCACCGAGAGCCTGCAGTGCCTTTCAGGTTGGTTGGGTGAGAGATTTAATGAGCTCTCATTCCACACTTACACAGACTTGCTGATTAAAACTACTCTTTGCCTGAAATGATCACCTGCATGAACTTGCTTATTTTTGTGGTAACATCATCCAGAAAAGCAAGGCACATAGGCTTGCTTCCAGCGGTCAGAGATAGGTGGACATCTGTTCTGAACAAATGGAAATGATAGTATGAGGCCTTCTGATAAATGATGTCTTCTTTCCGTTCTCACTGCTGGGCTGGCTATTCCTTACATTAAGTTGTTTGGAAGTGAGTTTAATGCTTATGAAAATAAGCCTGTCATCCCCCGGTTTTAGCTTTATGTTTTGCAAAATGGGCCTATTAAAATGTTTGATTTCCTTGTGCTTTATTTTTTCTTTTGTTGATCTTGCTTATTCATTTTCCTTTGAAACTGCTTTACTGTAGCTCTTGCATTGTATTTTTATGTCTGTGGATGGGACTTTTTAATCTTGGGCTTTATGGGCATGGGAACCACAAGAAATGACTTGTTTAGTAGTCTCGTAGGGAGCTGGTGTCCTGATAAATTCAGAGAGCTCCCTGGGAATAGAGTGGAAATGAACCTTCATTCACCTGTCTTCAAGTCTACCACACCTCCAAAGGACCTGGGAGCACCCATTTAGGAGAGCTACATTACCAAGTGTTTAGATCATTACTCCATCATGCTCACTTTTTACCTTATACATGCATCTGGTTCCACACATCCAAACACAGGTCCAGTGACCCCATTTACTGAGCACCTCCTCTGTTCCAAGCACCCTGTAATTTAAAAACAGCATCACACTTAATTCTTATAGCACAGCTTTGGAAGATAAAGTTTCTGAGTTTTAGGGCAAGTAATGTACCCTAAATATCACAATACATAAATATCCAAGCTGGGACTTGAACTCTAGTAGTTTGCCCCAAATTTCATAGTTTTCTTATTCTGCCACAAGTCCTATAACTCTCCACAGATGATATCTGCTCATGTATTTAAAACTGATTAAATAGGCAATCTAACCTGATTGAGCTCAAACTGTAACCTTAGTACTGTATTAGTGACACAAAGGGCAAAGTTTTTAACAGAAAGAAAAGCTTGTTGTGGTTTAAAATAGTTGAGAAAGGTATATAGAAAAGGTTGGCAGTTAGGTCTCCATTCAGCCAGCAAAACAAGAAGGAATTCCTTTATTAGTGCTTTTCTAGAAAATATTGTTTTTCCCAAACTTACGAGGATGATCACAACCTGACCCGGAAATCCTTTTTAGCATTTGCAGAGCCCCAGTCTCTGGAATCAATAAGAGATTTTTGTTGAGTCTTGAGTAGTGTGTGAAACCAAAATATCTTTTTCAGTTTTTGTTTTATTTAGGCCCATGGGAGGGAACTTAGCAATCATTAAAACTTCCCAAAGTTTCATTAATTAATTATGCTAATAATCCAAGCAATATAAGTTGATTTATTCTGCTTTGACTCTTTAAACTCTTGCCAAAGTCAGAGGATTAGACTGAAATTCCACAAAAAATGAACAATCCTTGTAACCTTATATTGTTAATATAATGGCACCTCTATCACCACCCCACCACCTTATGAATAAAGTGCAAGGAAGATTTCCTTCTTTCTTTGTTTTCCAATTGCATTTATTACTCATTAATAGCATAGCTTCCAAGAACTTGTGGAAGGAGAGGACAGCTTTGATTTAGGAGACAAATTAAAGGGGTGCCTGAGTGGCTTGGTGAGTTAAGTGTCCGTCCGACCCTTGGTTTTGACTCAAATCATAATCTCAGTTTGTGAGCTTGAGCTCTGCATTGGGTTCTGTGCTGACAGCAAAGAGCCTGTTTGAGATTCTCTCTCTCCCTCTCTGAACTGCCTCCCTAGCCCCACTCAACTCTCATGTACTCTCTCTCTCTCTCTCAAAAGAAATAAAACTTTTTTTAAAAAAGAAACTAAGTTAAAAAAATCTCCAAAAAGTTCTTTAAAAAAGAAACTAAATTAAAAACCCTAAATCAAATTCTGTAGATCACTCTCAAAAAAATGAATTTGTGACCCTGCTTTTTTCTATTATTTGCATCTAGAAATATTTTAATCCAATTTCATAAGTAGTAGCTCCAACACATAAGCATCCAAATGGACTATAATGGCATCATCATCTTTGAGGCTAAGAAGTCAAGATTGAGACAGAAATACTGGCTGTTAAACCATACTCTTGTTTTCAAATTCAAATAAAACTAAATCACATAATGGCAGAATTATACAAGCCAGCAAAGGGTCAAGGTTTACTATTCAAAGAAGCAGAGTCAAACAGTCTATGGATTCAGGGAAGTCCCTAGTATTTTTCATAAAACTAGAACAAATAACCCTAAAATTTTTATGGAACCACAAAAGACCCCAAATAGCCAAAGCAAACTTGAGAAAGAAGAACACAGCTGGAGGTATCACAATCCCAGATTTCAGATATACCATAAAGCTATATTGATCAAAACAGTGTGGTACTTGCACAGAAACAGACATAGGTCACTGGAACAGAATAGAGAGACCAGAAATGTATCCACACTCATATGGTCAGTTAACCTACAACAAAGGTGGCAGTCTCTTTAATAAATTATGTTGAGAAAATCGGACAGCTACATGCAAAAGAGTGAATCTGGATCACTTTCTTACACTTATATACAAAAATAACTTGAAATGGATTAAAGAACGAAATAGGAGACCTGAAGCCATAAAATTCCTAAAAGAACATATAGGCAGTAATTTCTTTGCCATCAGCCTTAGCAATATTTTTCTAGACATGTCTCCTCATGCTAAAGGAAACAAAAGCAAAAATAAACTATTAGGACTGTAACAAATAAAAGCCTTTGGCACAACAAAGGAAACCAGCAATAAAATGGAAAGGTCTACTGAATGAGAGAAGATATTGCAAATAATATATCTGATAAAGAGATAATATCATAACATACAAAGAACTGATACTGATCACCAAAAATAATCTGATTAAAAACGGGCAAATATCTGAATAGACATTTTCCAAATAGGACATACAGATGGACAGTAGGCACATGAAAAGATGCTCAGCATCATTAATCATCAGGGAAATGCAAATCAAAACCACAATGAGATATCACATCATACCAGTAAGAATGGCCAGTATCAAAGAGACGAGAAATAACAAATGTTGTCAAGGATATGAAGAAAAGGAAACCCTTCTGTACTCTTGGTCGGGATGTATATTGGTGCAACCACTGTGGAAGTTACTCAAAAATTAAAAATAGAAATACCCTATAATCCAGTAATTCTACTGGGTATTTACCCAAAGAAAATGAAAATGCTAAATTGGAAATATATATGCACTCCTGTATTTATTGCCACATTATTTAATGTAGCCAAGATATGGAAGCAAACCAAGTGTCCACTGATAGATGAATGGGTAAAGAAGATTTGGTATGCATATGCATGTATGAAATGTTGGAATATTACCCAACCATGAAAAAGAATGAAATCTGGCCATTTACAACTACATGGGTGGACCTGGAGAGTATTAGGCTAAGTCAAATAAAGATAAATACCATATGATTTAACTCATGTGGGATCTGGAAAAAAAATGAACAAACAAAAAAAGAAACCTCATAATAAAGAGAACTGATGGTTGCTAGAGGAGAGGGGGTTGAGCAGATGGGTGAAATTAGAGATAGAGATTAAGAGGTGTAAACTAGTTATAAAATAAATAACATGGAAATGCAAAGTGGAGCATAGGGAATATAGTCAATAATATGGTGATAATATGATATGGTGACAGATGATGACTGTACTTATTGTGGTGAGAATATTGAGTAATGTATAGAATTATAAAATCACTATGCTGTACACCCGAAACTAATATATTATTGTATGTCAACTATACTTCAGTTAGAAATTTTAAAAATGCTCAGGTGATCAGGAGAAAAAGTGGCAACATCATGAAATTCTCAGGCAGTTTCAGAAAGAGCCACCTTCATTCAATGATGACCAGAAAGAAAACAAACAAACAAACATGGGAGTTAGGCATAGATATTACAATAATGGGAGTGTGGAGTACAAATTAAGAATACGTACTTGAACAAAATTAGATCATACATTTGAAGAAACATTTAGATAAAACTTCTTTAGACCCTCAAAGAAATTAAAGCAAGAATTCCAACAAGATAGACAAAAAGGCAAGAGCATTAAACGAGAAGGAGAAGGAAAGCGGCTCCTGGAGAATGAACTGAGGGGAAAATCTCTGCACTATGAAGACTACCTCAGAAGCTTCTTGGAATCAAACCAGTACTGCTGCCACAGAGATGAGGGGGGAAAACCCACTAAGTATGAAAGGGAAAGGTGGAGAAGAAATATGATTACGTGACAGATATGGAAGCTGACAGTAATGATTTAACATGTAGTGGGTTTTCCTGAAGAGAACACAACAAATGCAACAAAACCAATTTCATAGATAAAAGAGAAGGATGACTGATTTGTACACCAAAAGGATTCTCTTACTATAACAAGATCAATCAGTACAAAGCCATCAGGACCAGTACTAGTGCCATAAGCATCAGGACAGCATAAGGTCAGCATATCCTGGGAAATTTCAGGTTGGCTTCAGACTTTCCTCCAAAACTCAAGATGCCAAAAGACAGTGGAAAAATTATTTGCAGACTATGGTAGGGAAAGTCTT